ATGGTTGATTGTCCCTCGGTCACTCATGCGTTGAACATCCTTGATGCCATTTGATCTTTTAGTTCATGAAATGTAACGTATTCGAAGAACTTCCTGCTCCGATACCAATTGTTAGACAAATGTGCAACTCTAGAGGGGGGCTGAATAGAGTTGTTTTCAAGAATGTACGTTTTTCGCGTGTGTGAAATAAAAATCGCAGGAATAAATAAAAAGAGTAAGGAAAAGAAGAACACCGAGATATATACTGGTTCACCACCTCGTGGCTAGTCCAGTCCCCCGAGAGACTCTCTCGAAAATCCTACTAATCTTCAAGCTTCAACGGGTGCTTGAAAAACTGGTACAACTTGAGAACTTGAATCACACAAGCCTCACTTTCTTACAACACCAAGACTTGAGTCACAAAAGTCTTAAGAACAACACTCAAACAAGATGAGTTTAGCAACACAAGAAATGAAGCTCACAAAAGAGCAAGGAGTGTTTAAAATGTAAGTTCTATGGATGACAATATCTTTGCACTCAAGAGAAATAATATATATAAATCTAGCTCTCAAAATATTATTTGATTATCAAGAGATGGAGCAAGAATCAATAGTAATGAATGAGAGGATTGGAGTGCTTGTATTGTGTGTAGAATGAGAGATGAAGAGGGATTATATAAGAAGAAATTGGATATGTCTGTTGGGGAAAGAAAATGGCTAAGTATGAGATTCAGCAGACAAAAAATTGATTTGCACAAATAAGGAAAATCGATTAGACGCTTCTGAGTAGAATTTCTTCTGCGCTAAGGTGTCTAATCGATTAATAATGAACTGCTTTAATCGATTTATACCAGAAATCGATTTCACAGGGAGTAAAAAAATCGATTAAAAAACTGGGCGAGAAAACCCAATCAGTGATATAGAAGTAATCGATTTTCACACACATAAAAAATCGATTAATAATGCGGATTTCTCAGAGACAGGAAAACTCAATCAATGGCGAGATAGTGAAGGACAATTGTCCATATCTTGTTGTTTCCAACAAGATTTTGAGACAAAGGCTCCCAATCACATGCTAAGATATTCAAAAAAAAATTGAATAAATGGGATAATTTGAGATATAGGGTATAGAAATTGAGTCCAAAAAATATATATTTTGTGTGTCAAACAATGTCAAAAAAATATCTGGGGTAAAAGTATTTTTGCTTCAATTTTTTTTTCTAATATCAAAAGAAATATTTAAAATTGTTTGACACATCTTTTGTAACTGACTCAATAGATTTATTTTTGAATCATTAAAGGATTTTTCAATAGACTCCAAAAATAAATATAAGTTTTAAATGTATAGTCCTCAATAAAGTAAGTTTTTAAGTAAAAAGATATTTTGTCATCCTTACAAATTTCCTAGACTCAAAGAAATAAAAGTCTTCGGAAAGCTTCTCTTCACTTCAAGATCTTGCGTAGGGATAATGAACGAAACTCGTTGTGAAATTCTTCATGTGTCTTTTGCTTTCTTGAACCGAAAAATAAATTTTCGTTCTTCTTTACGTTTGTCATTTATCAAAACCTGAAAGATTAATTTCCAAAAAATATATCTAAAAAGGGTTTGAACTCATGTCTAACATTCGTGAGTATTCAATTGAGTTCTGGAAGTTCACACTTGAAGCTCTAAGAATTCAACGGATAAAGTAAAACTTCCTAGTTGTCACACTGTCTACAGAATAACACTCTACTGGAGTACCTTGAAATAAATGATAAAGATTTTACTCCTTACCTTCCCACTGCATAAGACTCCCTGTTTGACTTGCATTAAATTCCCTCTCTTGTATTTTTATGGGTAAATTTGTCAAATTAATATATACGGAGTATTAAGCAAAAATTCTACTCCTTAGAGCAATGGAAATGGGGCTGACGCCCCCAGCGTCAATCTCCGTTTGACGCCCAAACGACGTTAAACACCGCCCCACTGGTGGCGTTAAGGGACGTCAGCTCCCACGCGTGACAGCTTTGACGCAGCTCCCTCCTCCCCAACGGCTCTTTTAACCGTTAACCACCAAAAAAAATTTAAATTTAAATAAAAAAACCTATAAATTCAATCAAAACAAACCTATCTTTCACACATCTCTCACTATCTTCTCTCTATAATTCTATCAAATATTTTTCAAATATTTTTCTATTTATTATAATTATTTCTAAAATATGTTTTAAAAATGGGATCATCTTCATCTGATGATGAAAAGAGATCCCTCATTTTTCATTGTTTCGCCACGAGTTGTTATCAATGGTGGCAACAAGGCGAAAAAAAGAAGTAAAATCTTCCTGACGCCGGACCCGACGACAACATTTAAACTGGGATCGAGCGGCTGCCCACGCTTCACTTCTCAATGACTACTTCAATAATTCGTGTGTTTATACACCGAAGGATTTTAGTAATCGTTTTCGGATCAGTCATCTTCTATTTTTACGCATACTCGCCAATATTGAACGCGAGGTGCCATGGTTCACCCAACGCTTTGATGCGAGAGGGCGTCGCAGGTTTAGTAGTGTCTAGAAGTGCACTACCACGCTTCGTCAGATGGCGCACGGGACGATATCTGATTTGTTTGACGAATACTTGAAGATGTTGGCTCAGAACATCAAGTCTCGTGTTTATAAATTTTTTAAAGCTATTATTCAAATTTATCATAAAAGATATTTACGCAAACCTATAGCGAGCAACATTTAGTAGTTACAGGCAATGTATGTCGCTAAACACGGCTTTGTCGGCATGATTCGGAGCATTGATTGCATGCATTGGGAATGGAAAGATTGTCACACTGCGTGGCTTGGTCAGTTCTCCCGGGGGGTCATCACAAGCCAACTATCATGCTCGAAGCTGTTGCTTCAAATGACTTGTGGTTTTGGCACACTTCTTTCGGTGTTGCGGGATCGAACAACGACATCAACATTCTCGATCAATCGCCTATTTTTGACGATTGGATTAATGAGACTGCACCCGACTCGTTTTTTGAGCTTAGAGGGACACTTTACAAGCGTGAATATTATTTGGCCGATGGAATATATCCAGACTATTGCACGATTGTCAAGTCCCTCTCCGAACCAAGGAGTCTTAAATGGCAGACCTAGAAAAAAGGCTCATGAGGCGGCGAGAAAAGATATTGAACGAGCCTTTGGGGTCTTGAAGGCTAAGTGGAACTTCTAGATCGTCCGTCTAAATGTTTTTCTCAAACAAAAATGAGAAATATCATGTACGCATGTATTATTCTTCATAATATGCTCGTAGAGGACAACAAGTTTGCGATTTATCAATACAGCCCGGACGAAGAGGTGCCTATGTACGAAAAAATTGAAGAAGAAAATAAACGAAGAACCCGCCAAGAAATTCGCAGCCAAGAGATTCACAATGCACTAACGGCGGGTTTGATCGAACATATCTTCAGTCACTCAAATAATCAGTAATTTGTTCGTACTATTGTTTTTTTAATAAATGTATTTTTTTGTGGATATAATATTTTATTTAATGAATGTAATTTTTTTAATGAACTATTCTCCTTTTTATTATTTTAAATAATTAAATAATTACATTTTATTAATTTAATTTTAGAAGATGCATATTTAAAATATTAAAAATGAAGGTTTGAAGCCTCGGGGCTTCAAACTTATTTCCACTAAAACTGTGAGGTAAGTTTAAGATCACGTGACAGAGAGAGAATGTTTGAAGCCCCAGTTTGAAGGTCTGGGGCTTCACGGGTATTTCTAGTGCCCTTAGGGTGGTTGTAACAATAAACGAGAAAAAGTAACTTTAATAGCACCACATCAAAAATTTACACCGCCAATTTTTTAAAACTTATATCTCTAACAATAAACCTACAACACCAACTTTAACAAAATATTTACATGTAAATATATTAAACAAAATAAATTATTATATTTAATTAAATTAATTAGAATAAAAAGTAATTAAATAAAATAATACGCAGTGTATATACAGATGTAATAAAAAACAATAAAGAAAAAATATGAAAGATATGACATGTGGGACCTTGACCTTCTCCTTCTCATAAATCCAACTCTTAAAATCAAAAGCCAATTTTTAAAAAAATTGCCAACTCACATGGTAAGAGTTGCATTTAACTTAAGTTTAAACCTCAAACCATCCCCCCATTTACCACCAACCTTACCTCTGGATAAAATTCCCCATTAGTATGGATAAATTTGTTATTGGATGGGTAAATTTCCCATTAAATCCCCCCTTTTGTATTTGTATGGGAAAATTGGTTAAATTAACATAAATTGAGGGGATATAGCAGCACCCATAAACTTATTGCCAATTTGATATCATGGCAAAAAATGTCTTTTTAAATTATTCTTTACTTAAGATAACTAAAAAGTCTAAAATGAAACACTACAGCCTATGACAATATGTAAGGAGAGCATATATATTAAACATGAAATGCTAAGTAATTTCCTTTAATAAGTACTACGTACAAACAAAGTACCTTTTTATATAATGTGTAAATGAAACATTTCAAAAAAATTCAGTGGAGCAAATACTCTTTTCATCTCTTCTGGTTCTTAATTTGAAACTTCAAACACAAAAAATCAGCAAAACCAACTGTAACAACATTTATTACTATAAATTAAATATCTTATAACTCAAACCAAATGCCTATATAGGATAACAAAGTAATATCAAACATAAAAAAGTATGAACTAATGATTAGATTCTTTATCCCAATTGCAAAGTCCATCTAACAAAAAGTCCATGTTCAAGTTGTTCTTCATCCATCTTTGATGAAATTCACATTTGTCTATCATCTTGACATCTTCAAAATGAAAACCCCCCAACATTAACATCCCTAAAGTGTATCCATCCACATCAAAATCTTTGCAGAATAGGTAAAATCATTAGATACTCACCAATATGAATGTAAGTATACCTCATAATGTTAATGTTTTTTAAGAAGATAATATTTTAAGTGATTTCATTCTCAAAAGCTCTAAATCCAGAGCCTTATTTTCCCAACTGCATAAAATTTACTGTACTATCCATTTTCTTTTTCAATCAAATTTATATATAAAGAATTTGAATAGAAAAAACAAAAGGGTGTTACGATTGTCCCTGAATCCTTGCACTCTGATGTCTGTAGTTTGCTGAATTTAAGCGTCAAAATCCTAATTTGGTGCTGCCATCCGTCCTCCCTGCATTGGAGTAAAAAAACAGTTTTTACAAACAATTAATAGTCTAACCAAATTAAGCTCTAGTTAATAGTATTATAGATGAAGAAGTTAAAAAATAAAGAGTCAATCACTAATGGAGAAAATAACATCATATTTTAAATTGGCATTGATTGATAAATGAAGAAAAGGGGAAGAAAACTCGATTTGAAATGTAGGCATAGAAATTCGCCAGCTTGTTGAAAAAGGACTGGAGAACTTATGTTGAAGTAATGTGTAACAGAAAATGCACTAATTATCTTTGAATCATATGACATAAAAATGAAAGAGTTTATAATCTTATGTTGAACTCCTTCAGTTAAAACTATTTCATAAAAACACATTCAGTTAAATCAAACAAACACCCAAATAGTCAAACATAGGGAAAAATGTTCTCTAATTATTAAAATAAATTTTTATAACAAAAATTGTAACTTTCTTAAATATTTTACTTTGAGATGAACCAAAAATATTACCCAAAGTTTTCTTACTTTGTCCTCTATACATGTTCTTTATCTTCTCCAGTCTCTCCCTTCCCATTTTCTTCTCTAGGTGTATAGTATCTTGAATCCTCCCTTTAGCGAGTCTGTTAAAATACAAAAATTTGAGATAAATTATTCCATCTAAAATTTGAAGCTACTTTTAGCATAAAAAATATTGACCTCTTACAAAATACAATATGGAACATGGCAAAGTAGAAATAATATGAACTTATATATAGAAAAAATAATATATAGGTGAGCTAAATACTCAAATCACAATCTAGAAGTTATATTAAACTAAATACTACAATCATCATTACCCATTAATTTATAAGCCAAGCTGTTCTATTATGAAGCAATGAAATCTAACTTTGTAGACTATGTTCTTTAATTATTAAAATAGCTTTAGCAAATATTGAAGCTTTCTCAAATATTTTACTTGGTGATGAAGCAAAAACATTAATCAAAGTTATCTCTAGGTGTATATTATCCGTGTTCTTTATCTTCTCTGGTCTTTCCGTTTTCATTTTTTTCTCTAGGTGTATATTATCTTGAATCATCCCATCTGCAAATTTGTTAAAATGAAAAAAACATAAGCCAAGTTGTTCCATTACGAAGTGATGAAATCTGACTTCGTATAATATTTTTTCATATTCAGACCATAAGATTAATCAATTGAACATTCTCGATCTTTTTCAAAATTAATATGATTTTTCTACAAAATTGAAAATCAAGATCCAACCTAATGATCCTATGAACTATAGGAAATATATAATCATCAATCCATCATAACAACATGAAATATAAGAGCATTAATAACTAAAATTATGAATTGGAACCATTATATTTGCACTTACCAAAAGAAAAACAATCAAGGAATATGTAACTAATTATGATATATTGAAGAACAATATGAATTGAAAATGCACAATTAAATTGGGGAAGAATAACAATTGAATATGAAAATCGAAACATACCAAGTAACCATATTGGCCTCATGGACTATATACCCTCTAAAAAATATGAATGAGGTAATTGGTGGACTATAAGAACTCAACTTACATGTTCATCCATGAACACCATCTCAATAGAATTTATGTTCTTCTTATCACTATATACGGGCAGAGTATATAGTTTTACTACACGAACCTTGATTCTTCAACCTTCACCGGTGGAAGTAATTTTATACAAAAGATGGATAGTTTTTGTCATGGCAACCTCAAAAAATGTATAATTTAGTACATGGTAAAAATTTTCAGTTTATCGAGGCAAAGGAAGTGTCATGGGTTGTGCGTGTAGAAAATATATATAGCCATGGCAAAAATAATCATGGAAATCAAGAAATGGGTCAATTAAGGTATGCACTATGTAAATTGGAATTGTAAATTCGAAACTACTAAATCAAATTTTACCAAAATAAAATATGATAGTCTATATAGAATCCAAGGAACATTAAGCCAACTAAGGTGAAATACGAGAAGAATATGATTTGAATAAAATTAATAAAATAAAAGCAATGCATGTGATGACTGATGAGCTGTAACACCCTAATCCGTCCAGGTCTGTAGCCCCTTTCAGACTAAAGCATTAACTTGGTAACGTAAAAATTCCAAACATTTAAAAACTTTATTTCAAACAATTGTGCAAAATATTTTATAACAACATTGGAGTAAAATTATTTAAAACAATGCAAAGCGATTTGCATATTACAACAGTATGGTCAACTCATGTGGTAAAATCATTTACTTAAATAGTATATTTGTGCACGTCCACACATCACTTCCATCTCAGTATTCTCTAGAATAGGCTCTACATTTATTCTCTCTCATACCTGCCTACGTGTAGAAAGATGAAAAGGTCTACACGCTTAGCAAAGAAGTTGAGTGGTACCATGGCACAACAAAATAATTCACAGAATAATTTATTAAACAATACCAATCACACATATATGTTCAAATATTCGCTTTTCATATTTAAATTCATCTTTTTTTTATTTTAACAATTATAATGAACATATTCAATTCCTAAATATCATCATTCAAACTTATATAGGAATCAGTGCACAGTTCACAATAATTACATGTCATTTTTGTTATCAGAATATTCATCATTTGTCACATATAATTTCATATCAAGTTTTATCATAAATATTATTAGTCTAAGGTCAAATTCATATTGATAATTGAGCTCTTAAACTATAGTTAGTCTATGGAAATACTTCTATTCGGGCTCTTAAACTATAGTTAGTTTAAGGCTGAACACAAGAATCGATGGTCCATCCTACGAGTCTTATGGATCACGTACCAACCGAACAGTGAACTTTCGTGTGGGTGATATCCCCAAACGAGTGATGCTCAAGTTTAGTTTGGATGTCGTACATACGTTTTAACCCCAGATTACTGAATTGGTCACATAGGTATATATTAGAGTTCTTCTAGATATCCTTAATAATCAACATTAAATATCTAAATGAGTATATCTTAGAGTTTTTCTAGATACCCTTAACAATACACATGATTTTCATAATCATCAATATATTCATTTTTAGTCATGATTCGATCATTCATAATTATCATTTTAATCAGAATATTCATTAAAATTTGATCATAAACAACATCAATAATAATCATCATGATATAATAAGTAGTGGTCTAACGTCGAGTATTAACACTCTAGCTTTCTGTCATGCATCTCACAAAATTCTTTATTTTTCAAAATCATCATATTCAATTATAAAAATAATTTCCATACTGATCATAATCAAATGGTATCAAAATAGGATTTTATAGCTTCAAGAACAGCATTTTCAGACTAAAAAATGATCGTAACAGTCGACCATTGACTCTGAACGGTCAATCGTACCGTTCTGGACCGATTTCAGTCGTACGGTACCTTGATACGGTACCGAGGTACCATGACACGGTACCTTGGTACCGTTAAATGGCGTGTAATTACCGTATATGCACAAAGAGAAATGCATGTCACTATTAATCATCTTCAACCTTCGACCCATTTTTCCCAAAACACCATTTAAGCTTCTAAGCTTTAAAATAACTTCAGAATTATGTTTTCTAACGTCCATAGATCATTCACAAACGATTTATTTGAAGCTTTAACAATAAAACAAGTTTGCCGATTATGAATATCAAAATATTTATATTTTTAAATATATATGAACCATTAAGTTCAAAGATCATTCCAATGCCTTACAAAGTTGTTTAAAATCATGGTACAGACCTTAAAATCAACTAGATGAAGCTCAACGAACGAACGAGAGCAAAAACAATATCAAAATCCAATAAATTCATAATTCCCGTCACCACTGTACCAGCCCTGGTTTTCGGGCCATATTTCCTTCATTACTCAATGAAATCACAAACCGTTTGAAGCTACAGATCCGGAAGACAGAAGGCTACAACTTTCGTTTGGGAACAAAATTAAATAACGAAGTTTAGATGGTGTGAAAATGCTCAAAAGTGGACTGATTTGCACAAGGAATGTTTTCTTCATTCAACTTTCCGGGAAAACTTTTGACAAGAATCGTGGCTACCTCCGGTGACTTCGACAGTGACGATCACTTGCGGTCTGTTCTCTATACCTCGGTTTTGGTTTCGGTTTCGGTTTCCCATGATAAAAAATTCGGTTATTTCGGGTACTTCAGTTTTGTGTCGGTTTTGGTTATCGGTTTATTCGATTAACCAAATAACCGATATACTCCGTATGTGTTTTGTTTGGGTAAACTGATATATAAGTTTATTAGTTATTAATATGAATTTTTTAAAGCCCAATAGCAAGTGAGCCCACTTCATTATCCAAAAATTGGAATTGTTTGATTAGGATATCTCTACATGGCAAATGAGTGGCGACAGGGAAACCCTCGGCTTTCGATCGGGAACCAGAAGATCTGCCCTGATGGTGGGGGTTGCCATCGTCTGCATCCACGGTGCAATTCGGGAACCAGAAGATCTCTATCTCGACGAGCAAGAGATCCCCCGTCACCGGGTTCCACTCCTTCTTGAACGCCGACCCCTGCTCCCGGTGTTGCCCCTCGGACTTGAGCGGCAGGTATGTGGTCTAGAAATCACAGTGGCACTGGTAGCAATTTTTCAGCCTTTCCTATCAAAATGAGGAAAGTTTACACGTTTACCTGGTATTGGAAGTTTTCGCTGGTAGCAATTGTTGTTTTAGAACAACAATTGGATTTTAATTTTCTCCTGATATTCGAAGTCCTAGTGCTTCAGTGGTACATGGTTTTTGTCAGAACCCCCAAACCCTTAACTACTCATAGTGCTTTCGTTGATGATGATGATATTGGAGTTTTTTTTATTTTTTGTATGGGTGCTATGGAATTCGGTTTTTAATAACCGACCGAAACCATTCGGTTTAATCGGTTTTGGTTTTCTCGGTTATCCAAATACATCGGTTCGGTTTCGGTCGGTTTTTTTATATCTCGAAAAATTTCGGTTAGTTCGGTTTTGACCCGAAACCGACCAGACCGACCCGATGCTCACCCCTAGTTTTAATGTTCTAACTTGACACTATTATTTACTAGCCTTGTGTCCTAATCCTTCATAAGCATATCGAAGTGAAGTCTCTACTTCTTGAAGCGGCTAAACTTCATGCTCATATAGGTAGCCCTCTTTATTCTTGCACCTGCACATGCAATTTTTCAAAAGAACTATTAAGAAGACGTACTTCATCCTCCTTATCTTACAGGTCTGAACACATAGTTCGGGATAATATACTTAATGTGTTCTAATTTCCAAATGTTAAGATTTTCCCCATTGAATTCAGCATCTAATGTCTTATTAGATGGGAATTGGGATTCTTACCATGAGAAATTTAGATAGACTTCAATCCAATCCCTATACCCGATCTCTGCACAAGGTTTCTACTTAACCCTTTAGTTAAATGATCAGCTAAATTTTGTTGAGTCCTTACAAACTCTACTGATGTCACACCATGCATGATGAGCTCTCGAATCATGCCATGTCTCACGCCTAAGTGTCTTGACTTCCCATTGTAAACTTGACTATAAGCCTTAGACAAAGTAGCTTCACTATCACACCGAATAGATATGAGAGATATTGGTTTTGGCCACAACGAAATTTCATATATCAGATATCTTAGCCATTCTGCTTCTTTACCGGCTGCTGGCAAAGCCAAAAATTCAGACTCCATTGTAGAGTTAGTTACGCAAGTTTGTTTCTTTGATGCCCAACTAATTACACCTCCCCCGAGAACGAATATCCATCCACTCGTGGAAGAATGATCTTCCATATTAGTTATCCAACTTGCATCCGAGTATCCTTCTAAAACAGAAGGAAAGTCGGTGTAAGTTAAACCATAATTCATGGTTCCCTTCAAGTATTTAAATACTCGGTTAATAGCTTTCCAATGATGCGAACTAGGATTGCTAGTGTACCTACTAACTTTTCCAACCGCATATGCTATGTCTGGCCTAGTACTAATCATAGCATACACCAAACATCCAATAGCTCGTGAGTATTCTAGTTGAGATACCGCAACACCTTTATTAGGGAAAAGCTTTAGACTTGGATCAATAGGAGTACTGACCGGAGAATAATCTTTGAAGTTAAACTCCTTCAAAATCTTCTCAATATAATGTGATTGAGAAATAGAAATTTCATTATTCTTACGCTTGATCATTATACCTAGGATCACTTCAGCCTCTCCCATGTCTTTCATGGCAAACCTAGATGATAAAAATTCCTTGGTGTTATCAATTTGAACTTGGTTAGTACCAAATATTAACATGTCATCTACGACATCTACATATAAGCAAATTATAACTCCTTGTCCACAAGCATTAAATCTGTTATATACACACTTATTTGCTTGGTTTAATTCAAAACCATTTGACAAAACAACATCATCAAATTTCTGATGCCATTGTTTTGGTGCTTGCTTTAGACCATAAAGAGATTTCATCAACTTACAAACCTTATTTTCGTTTCCAAGCATGACAAAACCTTCTGGTTGTTTCATGTATATTTCTTCATCCAATTCAGCATTCAAGAATGCAGTTTTTACATCCATTTGGTGAATTACCAAGTTATGTATAGCTGCAAGAGCTAATAACAACCTAATTGTAGAAATTCTAACAACATGTGCATAGGTATCAAAGAAATCAATGCCTTCCTTTTGTTTGAAACCTTGAATAACCAATCTGGCTTTGAACTTATCTATGCTTCCATCAACCTTCATTTTCCTTTTGAAGATCAATTTACATCCTAGAGGTTTGCATGCGGGAGGTAAATCTTTCAATTTCCATTTATTATTTTGCATGATGGAGTCAATTTCCATTTATTATTTTGCATGATGGAGTCAATTTCATCTTGAATTGCTTCCTTCCAAAATGCAACATCCCTTGAAGTCATAGCTTCACTAAATGTCTTTGGATCTTCCTCAAGATTCAAACAATATTGATATTGAAATTCAATCTCATTTCTTGTTCCTTCCATTAAGCAGAGTTGAAAATCATCACCCAAAGACTTAGCTTTTCTTGTTCTTGTACTTTTCCTTACTTCAATGTTTGGGGATGGCACAGTTTGAGAGACCTTGAAAGTAGGGGTCATATCCTTTGGTCTAGATATAGGAGTAAATCTTTCTTCATCAAAAATCGCATCTCTTGACTTTATAATTGTGTTTACAGATACAAAGTCATTAAGTTATATAACATAGAACCTATACGCCTTGGAATGCATAGCATATCCAATGAAGATGCAATCTATACCTTTTTCACCTAAAGTTTTCCTCTTAGGTTCCGTAAGTCTAAAAACGGCCCTACATCCCCAAACATTAAGATACCTCAAGTTTGGTGGTTTGTTGTACCAGAGTTCATACAGGGTTTTTTTCATCTTTTTATTAGGAACTCTATTCAATAAGTAACATGCTGTTAACATTGCCTCACCCCAAAATCCTTTGCTTACGCCTGAATAGGATAATATGGAATTAACCATTTCTTTTAAAGTCCTATTCTTCCTTTCTGTCACACCATTTTATTATGGTGTATAAGGGGCAGTTGTTTGATGTATTAAACCAATAGATTGAAAATATACTGGATCATAATACTCACCTCCCCTATTCGTTCGAAAAGTTTTAATCAAGCTGCTTTGGTGTAACTCTACCTCTTGGTTATAAATTTTAAATTTATCAAGGGCTTTTTCTTTTACATGTAACAAATATACAAAACAAAATGTGGACGCATCATCTATGAAAGTGACTACATATTTTTTATTTCCAAGGGAAAGGGTACCATGTAAGTCACATAAATCACTATGAATAAGATCGAGAACTTTACATTCCTAATGAACTTCTTTGAATGGTTGTCTCATTATTTTAGTGAGCATATAAGTTTTACACCTCTCAATGTTCAAATCAAACGCAGATATTAAACTCAATTTAGACATATCTTTTAATCTCATGTAATGAACATGTCCTCGTCTAGCATGCCATAAATCAGATTTATTTGAACCAATGCTAGAACTAGTAGAATCCATACATATAGATTCATTGAGATAAGATATATCTAAATTCAACTTGAACATACCATTCAAATATCCAAATCCAATAAACGAACCATGTATAAATAATACATATTTATCAGACTCAATGACTTGTTAATAACCACAATTATTTAATACAATACCAGACACTAAGTTTTTACGAATACCAGGAACATACTAATACCAGGAACTAATAATACCTTATTTAAAGTTATTGACCTGCCAGAAGTAATACTAGCCTAACACTTCCAATTCCTTTGATGGGTTTGGTAGACACATTTCCCATGCGCAATGTTGAGCCATCTTCAATTGGCCTTACAGATGTAAACCAACGTTGATCCTTACACACATGGGACGTTGCTCCTGAATCTACCCACCATGAAACATCATCATCTTGCATATAAAATGCCCCGGATATTAGGGATACATAATTCTGAACCGAATTATTAATCTTTTCAAAATTTTGACCTTGTTGCATATTTGGATCCTTTAACCCACTTGGACCGGCTTCCTGTTTTCCTTTACCAACCCTACAATCTTTCTTGAAATGCTCGGGTTTACTGCACTTCCAAAACGCCACCCTTTGTTTCTTGTTGGTGGTGTTCTTGTCAGGCTTATTTTGCTTCATTTTTCCTGACTTATGCTTCGCCTTAGAACCACCATCCTCCACCATATTGACAGAGGATTGTCCATCAACATCCTTGGATTTGTTGCTTTCTCGATCCCTCACTGATTCTTCAATCCGAAGATGAGTGCCCAATTGAACCAAAGACATATTGTCTTTGTTGTGTTTCAACTCACGTTTATAGTCTTTCCAAGACGGTGGCAACTTATCAATTACATTCGAAACAGAAATACATTCATCTTGTTTCATACCATGTAAATGAAATTGTCCCAACATACGTACAAGTTCATGATATTGTTCCATAACAGACCTCGAATCAACCATCTTATAATTATTAAAGTCACTAACAAGAAATTCCTTACTTGATGCATTTTCTACCATGTATTTGGACTCAAGAGAATCCCACAACTCTTTTGCAGACTCAACATTCTGATAAATATTGAAGAGGGAATCAGACAAACCATTTAGAATGTGGCATATGAACAGAATGTTGTCGTTCTCCCACTTGCAGCGCCTTCTAGCATGTTCAATGGTTTCGTCATCGAACTCTTCTTGTTTGGGAATACTCGGCACATACACGACTTTTAGGGTCGTCCACAAGATCTGCATCTTCTTCTGCCATCTTCGAAAATCCTGTCTTTCGAATCCTTCCAGTTTTGCGAAGTTACTGGTTTTGTCCTTCATCGATTCACCGTTTGTCATCTTCAACGAAAAATATTCAATCTATGTTGGGGATAACAATGATAACGCGGATCAATCGAGAGTCGTGTATAGCACTTTCAGATTGAATATTTTGGTTGTTCAATCCATAATCCAATCGGATAAAACTCGAAAGTAACAAGAACAAGTATGGAATTGTTGCGAATTTTCAAATGTTGCTTCGACCAAAGACTTCTGGGAATATATAGAGTTGCGGTGGAGAAGAAAAGACATGATTGCGTCTTTTGATCCAAGACGCGCGATCCTTTGTGCGAAACCTTTAGAAAAATCGGTGATATCCTTAACGAATTTTCTTTTTAAAGAAAATTCGAAAATAAATTGAATTTTTTTAACATAACACTTTGCCCAAAATAAAAACCCCAGCTGTGGGCTCTGCCCTGCAAGGGCTGCCGCCCCTTAAACCCTGCTCAGGGGCGCTGCCCCCAAACCCCTACCAAGGGGGCGCTGCCCCTTGGAAGCCTCGATAAAATGGGACTTTTATCCTAACAAACTCAACGAAGCGTGCACTCCTTACCACCAAACTTCATTGATGATTAATAGGATACCATTGGTCATGGTTTTTCCAAATATACTAAAATATATAACAAATTTGATAAGGCACCATTGCGATAAGGCAGTCAAACTCTACGCAACTATATAATTTTTACATTTTTCGAAAATACTTAAATACTTTTTCTGGCTTCACAATTTTGGGTGTGTGACTTTGACAAAGTGATACGGTGGCTTCACTGTGACATAGTGATACGGTGGACTACCTTTGGCAAATATAAAACTCCAGCCTCTAGCAATATTTAGGGGACCGTTGAGAAAAGCAGCCTAAAACATAATAAGATTTGT